GTCCCAGAAAACTCCTGACTTCCGTCGCAGAAGTCGGAGACTGCCACTCCATGACGGCCCCGATCTTGGCTGGATCGACCTGAATACCCTGGGCTGATACCACATGTCCCAGGAACCCAATCTCCTGTAGCCAAAAGCTGCACTTGCTGAACTTAGCGTACAGCCGATTCTCTCCCGTCCTTCTTCTTCACGAAGAGTACTGGTGCTCCCCACGGTGAAACGCTAGGGCGGATGAAACCCTGCTCCACCAACTCATTCAGCTGTTTCTTCAGCTCGGCCATCTCCGTAGGTGCCATCCGATATGGGTCTTTGGTAATTGGGTCAGTATCCGATACCCAGTCAGCAGTAAAACCCATTTCTTCCCTTGGTTATAATCCCGACAAGTCATCAGGAAAAAGTATTAGAAAACTCCTGGGCAACTAGTTTGTCTTCCAATCTATGCTCTGGTTCCTTGGTCATCGTGATAACTACAAGGAACGCTCTGTTGTCCCTCCTGATCACCTTCTTTTCGGACTTTTGGTTTGCATTTAAGGGGGTCCTCTACTAACGCCGATAAAGATGGTGAACGAGGTAAGTTCCTCCCTCCCACTTTGTCATAAACGCCCACTTGGGTGAGTTGACGTTTGTTCCTTTAGGTACTGCTATAGAGCCTCTTAAGGATTTCGGAATTAGTTCTCTAATTCCAATCCTTTAGTTTAGGCATTGGGCTTAATTGTGGAAATCGTTGATCTTCATTTAAGCATATAATGGCGACATTCTAAATGTGCCACGTTACATTTACTAAGCCTTCGACGACCCCAGCTCGCATCATCAATGTACGGACCTCGACAGGTGAGGATTTCCTTCGGACATGGTTTGAAAACATTTTTCGTAGAAAATCGTTGGGTAATGAGCACGATTCCTTCCCGAGGAAAGAACGTGGCTCTGATACCAAAAGTTGTGACACCCGTAACCCGTGTACAGTATACGGGCTGTGCCACATGGACAATAGTAATAAAAATAATAATAATGCGGAAGCAAAAATACGAAATCCAAAAACATTTTAATCAACCAGAGTAAGCAGCGGAAAATACAACAGGCGATCAGTATCGCAAAATAACACATGTCCGAAAAGTTATAATTTAACCGTACAAAATGCGG